CTATGCGTCAGAGAGCTGGATAATGAATAAAGGTGATAGAATTGATGCCTTTGAGAAGTTGTCGTGCTGGAGAAGAGTATTGAACATATACCATGGATTGTCAGGAGTACAAAGAGATCGGACCTGGAGATGGTGAAACTAGTTTGCTCCTTGGAGTCTCATGTCTCTTTGGGCATGTTGCCTAGAAGGACCAGTCGTTGGAGAAGGACATCGTGCTTGGAAGAGTAAAGGTCAGAGCAAAAAAGAAAGGCCCAGGCTGAGGTGGATTGATACAGTGACTGTGACAATGAGGTCAGGTATGGCAGAGACAAGTTGGCTCAGGATAGGGCAAAGTTCATAGGGTCGCTGGGGTTGTAGTTGACTCAATGGCACATAACAACAATAGCTTTTATCCCAGGGAAGCCCTTGAGGTTATCCCGAGTTATTTCTGGCACTTTTGGGCCGCCTTCCCTTCCTGTGCTGCACACCCTGACTTTGGTGATGGCATCGCTGTCCTTTCTCGGCACAGCTGAGTAGCATTTCACCCTCTGCCTCCCTGTGACCCACGAGGAGGCCAAGGCCTGTGGGTGCGGCCAGAGCTGGAACCCTTCCCCACCTGGCCACTCATTATCTGCCACTAGGCACTCCTTCCTGTCCCTTCTCCTCTCAGTTGAGGCCCCTGTTAACTCAGCAGATTTGCTGAAAATCAAGCAGGAATTTCATTGTCGTAGGAAGCTCACTTCTCTTCCATCCATGGCCACTGAGTCATGAGCAGTTTCTTCATCCAGCTGTCCACCTCCTCACCTCTGCAGATTTAGGGGTACATCCTGGCCTCAGAAACCCTCTGATCTGCCAGCTGGAATGTATTGATTGTCTTTCTCTTGCTTGGACAGTCTACTGTCCTGTATTATATCTGAACCTGAGGGCTGTTCCTCAAATGCAGGCAGGAGGTGGCTGTCAGCAGGGGGACCTGGAGCAAGAAGGCTCCAGGGGCCTCCACCAACAGCTTAGTGGGCTTTGAGTAGAGAGTGTCCCTTACAGTGCCACCTCTGTGTTCTAGGCTAGACCCACTTCTGGCTATTTCTTCAAAGGGACACTGATCCTCACCAGCCATCCACAGCCCTGGTCAGCCATCCACAGCCCTGGTCAGCCATCCACAGCCCTGGTCAGCCATCCACAGCCCTGGTCAGCCATCTGCCCAGACTGGCGGCCTTGGCCTTCAACCTTCCACCCCGGGCGGGATCACGCTTGGGTCCCAGCCCCATGTTATACACCCGAGAGTCCAGGCTGCCCGACTCACTCGCTTCATGCTGGTCCCTGTCCTGTTGGATGTGTTAGTGCTTCTCAGGCACACCCCAATCCCTCAATTCCATGACCCACAATTTGAAGAACTCTGGCCAGACAACCCGGGTGCCAGCAGACATCATGGGACCCTGGTGACCAGAAAAATGAAAGGAAGCACGTGCTGGGCACGTGATGCTGACTCACTGCCTCTGCCAGAGGCTGCTGCCCCGGGTCCCCTTTATGCCACAAACCCTGGGGTCAGGTGGTGGCTGGCTAGGTCCCACCCACGTACAGGCGGAGTGCCGGATACTGCACATCCTGGGAGCCAGAGCCCCTGCTGTAGCACCATTTCCTGTCACACTGGACAGTGGTGATGACGAGTATCTGCAGACGCACAGTGGGTCCACAGCATGTGGCATTCATCACTGAGCCACCGGGGCTACCAGCTTCGGGTCACCCAGCTGCAGCTGTGGATGACTGGCCACTTCTCCGTGTGCCACCATGTCTGGGGAAGGGAGTGACTAGGCAAAGGCCTGCCTGCTGGGTCAGCCAGTGGCATTAGAAGAGCCCCAAGTGGTGCAGCCTCCGGCCTTGCTAGACATGCTGGGAGTGGGCATTGGAGTAGGCGACCCACGCCAGGAAGACCCCACCTCCCCACCTAGTCCAGAAGGGCTGCCTGGGCCACAAAGGATCCACGGGCTCTTCCTTCCCATCTGACCCTGAGGCCTGGAGTGAAGCTCGTGGTTCCTAGTCTTCAGAAACCCGGCCTGTCCTGGGACGCGGGCTGAGGGCTGCATGTGGGGTTGCGCTTGGGGTCGTGAGAGGGATGTGCATCCTCACACCCATGTGTGTGGCATGCTGCCCTTAGATGGGAAAGAAGAGCCATGGGCCCTGCCTCGGGGCTCCAAGTGACCCCACCAGAGTCAGAGCGGCCCTGGTGAGGACGTGTCAGCCCTTTCCCAAAACCCTCCCCAAGCCCAAGGCCACAGGCCAGAACGTCTCCCTGTCCCTCTGCCCAGGGCCTGGCCGGTCCCTGCAGAGGAGCTGAAGGAGTGGAAGGGGCCTGTGGAGGGAGGCTCAGGGGCCAGTGGTGGCAGGTAGCCCAGGCCCCCAGCGCTGCCCTGGACGAGCCAACAAAAGACAGAACCTGTCATCCTTGCCAGAAATAGATGACCACATGTGGGGAACAAGAAGCCAGCATCGTACTTGGAGATGTTAAATATCTCCCCAGATGGCTTAGATTATCACAGATCCACTCGGCCAAAGGCGGGAATGTCCCCGTGGGTGTCCCCAGGCGGCCACAAAGGAGGGATCCTGTGTTCTCAGTTGAGCCAAGGGATGACAGAACTCGCCGTTACTGTCAGCATGCGCTCAGAGGGCGGGAGAAGTGGACACCAAGGAGTTGGAGGGAGATAATTTATAAAAGGCCATGGCTCTCATCCCCAGATCCTGGGACAGCTTGAATCTGAGTTCACTTAGGCCTCTAGAAATTCGGAGGGGGGGGACAGAAAAAGATAGGGAACTGAGAACATGAAAATAGCCCATCGCCCATGCTGAGTGTCACCAGCTGCTGGCGGCTGCAGTGTGCTTCTCCAGAGATGAGATGGTGATGCTAAGACCAGAGCAGCTGCTGTAGGTCAATGGGAAACCCCAGCCCCACCATCCCGTATACCTCCTGGGGGTTTCGGCAGTTTGGGGGCCCTGATGGAGGAGTCCTTTTGTGCTGGAGAAGTTGTTTTTAGTCTTCTAGATGCTTCCAGCACTTGACAGGCTTTGGGGCTCCTCGCTGGGGCTTCCTGAGTTCTTAGGTTTTCATGTTTGATTTTTTTTTTTTATTGTTCAATTTCTGTTTGTCGTTGAGGAAAGTACAGTTCATTAGCACGTTCTGCCTGCACAGGGTGTTGCTGTAGGCTACCCTCTGATGTAGCAGCCCCCCAGGAATCTGTCACCTCTGCTCCAGCTGCCACCTGCCTGGGCTATTCCAGAATGTTGTAAATCAACAAACCACAACCATCCTCCTCTGTTGACTCTGGGGAAATCCAAATGAAAACACACTCTGCTTCCAGGTGGTGTGACTGGGCCAGGGCCCCTGGGGTTCGCGCCCCACACCTGCCTGCCTGCCGGCCCAGGTGGACACAGAGCAGCAGCAGCACTGTGCCCATTTTAAAGGAGGAAAGACTAAGCCCCTGAAAGCAGAGTGCCCTAGCTGGGACCGGAGTACAGTGGCAGACTCTAAGTTGCTCCACTGAACCAGTGTTGAGTGCCTCTGTTTTCTTTTTAGGGGTTACACAGCCCTACTGGAGGGAGGAGGAGGTGCTTTAACCTCCAGGCAGCTGTGGCCCTAGCAGCCCACTGCGTGTGGAGCAGCGGGAAGCAGACGACTGGGTGTGTCTGCCCAGGGCCGCTCTCCCCTCCTCCTGGCCTTGTACACCAGGCTTGGGTGGGTCCCCAGCAAGTGAGGCCCATGACCCCCTCAGCCTGCCCCAGGCATAGTCCCCCAGCATCTGACTTTGACCCAGCCCTGAGGCTCCCCACTCACAAGGCAAGCACCTCCCCACCCCAGAGATCACCTGAGGTGTTATCAGGCACTGTTTGCTCTGCTGACACCATTTATGGCGTTTTGTAATCAGAAAAGGCAGATTACAGAGCACCTCACAGGGACTTTGGATCCCAGCAAACCATCCATGGGACCTGAGCCTTCAAATTGTTTCTTTCAAAATCTGTTTCTGGGAGGGCCCGAGACCACACCGTGCTGTGCCCACAGGCACATGGCAGCTTCAGGATTGCTGATTGGCTGTTAGGAGAAATGGGGACAAGGCTCCGGCCCTGCGGACTTTCCAGGGTTTGAGGGGCTGCAGACTGACCCCAGCAAGAAGCTGAATGTGGGCAGGGAGATTGGAGAATGGAACAGGACCCCAGCCAGTCTGCAGAGGACACCCCGCATCTGGGTCTCTGGTCACCTGGCCCAGAAGAGGGAACCCAGTCTCAGGCTTGGGGTAGACTGATACCCCTCAGCATGTTTTGTCATTTGGGAACTCTATCAGCATAATCAGTAGGGAGATGTGCTGCTAACCTAAACACAGCACCTCTTTGGCGGTTCAAATCCACCCTCTGCTACTTGAGAGAAAGATGGAAAATCATTGCCTGTGCAATTTTACAACCTCTGTAAACCTGCTTGAGGGTCAGCTATGAATTAGTTCCGACTAGATGGCACTAAATTTGAATTTTAAAATGTCCTTACCAGATTTAGACTTCTTTGAAAGGGGGACTCCTCTCACCCTACCCACCTCCGTCCCATTGGAAAAGCCCTGTCCCTGTGGAAAGCCTGGAGCCAGGGCCAGCCCAAGCAGCCCCTTCTGTCCCTTCACCTGAAAGGGCAAGTGAGGCCGGGCTCCCGTCTGCTCCAGGCCCAGCCACTGGGCAGTGCGCAGTCAGACCCCTCAGCGTAGCCCCTGCCAGCAGCACTCCCTTTTTCTCTGGAACGCCCAGCATGAGTCTGGGTTTCTGTGCTGCCCATATCCTGTCAGGAGGCGCTAGTACAGGGAACAGGCCCACACCCTATACTAGTGCCCTCCTGAGCGGAAGCCTCCATGCTCGGGGCATCACCCAGCCTTTGGGCCCCACTCCTGTGGCTCTACCAGCACTGAAGCACTTCAGGGCCAAGGAGGACTCCCTAAGATTGGAGGTGTATTCCCCCCGAGCACCTCACCCAGTGTCTTGCTCTCTTCTCCCCCCAGCCTCTTTGACATGGGTGGTGAGTATTACTGCTTCGCTTCTGACATCACGTGCTCCTTTCCTGCCAACGGCAAGTTCACCGAGGACCAGAAGGCCATCTACGAGGCAGTGCTGCAGAGCTGCCGTGCGGTCATGAACACTATGAAGCCAGGTGAGGACAGGCACTGTCTGGAGGCCGGCCACCACGGGGCACCCACACAGGGCAGGTGAGGATGGGGCACTGTCTAGAGGCCCATCACCAGGGCCACCAGCATAGGGCAAGCCCTGTATCGTGTGGTCTGGCAGCTGCTCCACCTGCATGTCCAGCCAGAAGAGCTTAGCTGACATTGGGTCCTTGCATGTCCTGCTATCCCTAGGATCTTGCCTGAGAAGGGAGGCTGACCACGAAACAAGGACGGCAGGAGTAGGGGGAACTGGCTCCTACTTTGGGCAAGGTGTAGGACAGGCCGGGCCCTGGAGGAGGAGCTCGTGTAGGGCAAAGTATGAGGGTCAAGGAAAGAGGAAAACCCTCAAGGTCCAGGTGAATGACAGCCGTGGTGGCCGAGGCCCATCAGAGATTGTCAGGATGGCACTGTGAGCCACAGCCCACTTGATGGCACATGGCGGCAATCTTGGGTTCCCTGTGCTGTCCCACAGGACTCCCTCCACCTGCTCAGCCTTGTGCACGCTGGCCTGCTACCCTGAGTCAGGGTCCGCTCTGGGGAGGGCCCAGCCTCACGGTGGAGCAGCCCCAACCATCTGCTTCCGCTGGTTCTGGGATGGACAGAAGCCCCTCCTCTGAGAGGCCTTTTCTCTCTGGGGTGTGGGTGAGCAGCACCCCCTCCGGTGTCAGGGTTCCACTGTGGTCCTGTCACAGTTGTCAGAGTGGCATTTACCCAGGCCTGGGCTTTTCACTGTCCCTACTGTCAGCCTGGCTGATGTGACCTGCTCCTATTCTCATCCCCCTACTCCTGCCTGACGGCTTCCGGGCAGGGCCAGTGTACCAGGCTGCCCCCTAGCTCCATGTCCCAGCCACCGAGGATAGGCTGGGTAGGAGCCCTGCTCCCAAGGGGAGTGGACACACCACCTACCTACTTGGCAGGGGCAGCATCATAGAGGTAGCAAGTACCTCATGGGTCCTGCTGTCCCATTGCTGGCGTCTGTCCATCCTGGAGAGCCCCTGCCCGGTGCCCTGCTGCCTGAACACATGCATTAGTTCAGCAGCTGCACGCTCAAACCCAGGCCTGGTGTTCTCTTTCTGCCCAGAACGGTGATCCCTGAGCTTTGAACTTTGCCTCAGAGGATGAGGGCTGTTTCATCCCTACTTGCAGGCATCAGGGGCTTTCAGAGGCCACCCCACCCTGAGAGCAGCTCAAGCCTGAACAGGTTTCTTTGGGCCAGTGTCTACCCCAGGTCACATGGCACCTATGACTCCTGAAACCCACTGCCTTCCAGCCATTGTGACTCACACAAAACTTCCCGAGGCTGTCAGTCCCCACAGGAGTAGACTGCTTCCTCCTTCTGCTGAGAAGAGGCTGGTGGATTTGAACAGCCAGCCTTTCAGTTCTCAGCCGAGCATGTTATGCACCATGCCACCAGGGCCGTAACCTAATGGTCTGCCAGAGTGCAGACAGGACTGCCCATGCCCCTTTATTCCCCAGGCGTTCCAGCTCCTCAAGTCACAGTCATCCCACACTGAGGCCTCAGTTTCCATACTTGTCATTCTTCCTTCTCGGGGGTAAGAGCAGAAGTGGACCCAAGCCAACTTAGGCCCCCTTGTGCCATCACAGGTGGTAGAAAGGCAGGAAAGCCAGGCCTGAGATGGAGCCAGCTCCGAGGCAGGGCCAGCTGTGGACACAGGCTCCAGCCACTCTTCACTCTGGGGATGCCCCATAAGGGTCAAAGTCTATACTTGGTGCTGACCACCTCAGGCTGTACCCCAACACCCCACCTTAGCTGTACAGGCCTGAGGAGACATAGGCAAGGAGGCCCACCTTCCCCCAGACTTCCCGGATGCTGAGGGTTTGTGCGTCCTGCACAGGCCACGTGGGGCCCTCACATGGAGACTTGGGACCCCTTGCTGCCCCTGCCCGCACTCAAACTCTTTTGTCTTCTCATTCCCCCAATGGGCCCAGGAGAGGACATGAGAGGACCTGGCTGCGCGTGCTGCTGGGCTGAAGGAACCAGGCCTCCTGTGGTGCTTCTTGTTGAGGCTCAGCTGGGAGGTCGTGGCTGGGCATGGTGAGGGCGTTACATGTTCAGGATGAGGTGAGGACCAGGCCCCAAGCTGCCCTCCCTCGATGGAGCCTCTGCAGTCACATACACCTAAAAACCCGTGGTCCCCAAGCCCTGGAGCCATCAACAGTGGGACATGGCCCAGCATGTGGCTTGGCTGCTCCTGTGGCCCCATGGCTGGTGGTTGTGATGCGTCCAGCAGCCCACTGCTGGGCCCGGAGCCGCTTCCAAAGGGCCCTCAGCAGAGGCCATTTCCAAGGCCTTGTCTGCCAGCCTTTCTCGTGGCCTGCCCAGCCCCACAGGTCCTTTCCTGAGGCAGGGGAGCCCTGGAGCAGTGCTGGGCCACTCCGCCAGCCTCGTGTGGCCAGCGGGAATGACACTCCACAAACAAGCAAGTCCCCAGGCAGTGACCAACACAGTGCAGCGGCCACAGGCAAATGATGAGTAAGCTCCTGACGAGGGGACAGTGCAGCCTGGATTGAGGGTTTCGCGGCTGCCGGCTAGATCAGTGCGCTGTGTCCAATCGTGTGTGAGGGAGGGAGGGAGGGAAAAGTCTCCAGGACAGACTGTGGGTGGTGGCCAGTGTGCCCGCTGCTCGGTTGCAGACATGGGTGAGGAAGAGCTGGGGTTCACACTTCCTCCCCAGGAAGGAGGTGCAGGATGGGAGATGGGCTGGAGGACCGGGGAGGGCAATGGCCCTGTGTCCCTGTGTCCACTCTGACTGCTGCACTGTGTGAATGCGTCTCTTTTAACACAGAACCATCGCCGTCATGAGGGCTTCCCAGGCTCGCTTTTCAGAACTGGGTTGCCAGGTCTTTGTGCCTGTCATAGGCAGCCAGCTGGGCTGTGTGCCCTGCCAGGGTCCCCTGCTCCCCACCCGTGAAGGCCAAGCTTGTTGTCACCAAGCAGAATTACGGACTAGAACTGCTGCACAGAGTTTTCTTGGAAGTTTCTTTATGGAAGAGAACTCTGGTGGCCTCATGGGTAGAGGTAACCCAAAGGCAGGTGGTTCGAATCCACCAGCTGCTCTGGAGGAGCGGTTTGCTGCCTCTGCACATCCACTGGGAGGGTGGAGTGTGGGCGGCCAAGAGTCGGTTCTGGCTCCGTAGTATTGAGTGTTTCTCTGCCAGTCTTCGCTGAAGCAGATCACGAAACCTTTCTCCCTAAGGTGGGTTTGAACTGCCAACTTTAAGTTAGTATTAACTGCAAACCATTTTCATTACTCCTGCCTTTTAATTCCAGAGCCCACGAACAATCACTCCAATGGCATTCTCATCCTTTCTTTTCAGCAGGGATGAGAATTTTGTGTTCCATCCATGATGGTGGCCGTCTCTACTGTCACGTCAGAACTGACCCGTGCCTGGTTTTCAGAGGCACCGGAGGAGATTGTGGATTTGAACTGACATTCCTTTGGGTTGGCAGCTCAGCTCCCTGGCGTAAACATCAGTAGTCGTATTGTTTAGAGTAATAATAACCGTTTGAACTCGTGAGGGGGAGTCTGTAGGCGGTTGCACGGCTAACTGAAAGGTGGCATCTCTGGTGATTACAATCTACCAGCCATTTGCTCTGTGGGAGGGAGTCTCTGAAGCCCCGCTGAGGGTCAGCTGGAATCGTTCCACCTCGACAGTGATGAGTTTGAGTGTGTATGTCAGAAGCTGTGTGAGTTCTGTGCCAGTGTGGGCACAGGTGGTGTCTTCTGGGGTGTCTGCAAGTTGAGCCCCCTGTGGAGAAGCTGCTGAGAGGCGCCAGGAGATGGCACTGCCCCTTGGTGTGCAGCTACTTGGAGTCCACAGGCTGGTTCCCACATGGGCCGAGTGGATACCTGCAGATGCCCACATGCAGCTGTGGTGTTTAGATGCCCAGGACATCTAAGCTCTGCAAGGGGCCAGCGTGACCCGCTCTGGCTGATTGGAGAAGAGATGGCAACAGCTGCCCTGGGGAGAGTGGAGCAGAGGTTACACCCACCTCTGTGCTCGGGGCCAGCGTGTGGGCAGTGTGGGCAGGGATCCTAGCGTGTCAGCGGCCACAGGAAGAAGGGAATTTCTTACCACCTTGGAGCCAAGGCAGGAGGGCCTGGCCCTTGAGGAGGCTGCCATCCATGGGACGGAGCGGCAGGGGATTGTCAGAGCAGGGGCTGCATGTGCAGCCAGTCTGGCCAGCAGGGGCTTTGAAGGATGGTGCCCCCACGTTGCGCTCTGGTTCTATCACCTCTCTCCCTCTGCTGAGATCAGGGGTGGCCAAGGCCTGGTGACCGCAGCTGTCCACTCAGCCACAGGAATGCCTGCTAGTGGCCCGGCCAGCTCAGTGGCCAATTCAGTTCATTTCTGCAGAAAGTGGTTTGGTCCAAGGCAAGTCCATGGGGTCCTGCTGCCAGCACCCACCTGGCCACCCTGGATTTGTGGGGTGGCCTGACCAAGGCCTCAGGCCAGGCAATTTCCTCCCTGGCAGGAGCAGCCAGGATGGGGCCAACTGAGCAGATCTTTGATCTCATGTAGGATCCCATCCCGTCAGAACGCAGTCAGAGCCCCAACCTGGGCTGGGCTCCTGAGGTTCTGTGAAGGAGAGGGAGGGGAATGGAGCCTAGTCCCCAGAAGAAGCCCTCCTCTTAACCACCTGCACATAGATATTTCAACACTCTTGACAGTCCCCACGGGTTCAATTCCATCTGGGTGACACAGGACAAGCCTGCTAGGTAAGAGTGGGTCCTGTGCCTGACAGCTGCTGGGAACAATAGAGGATTGAAGCAGTGGTCAGGCCCAGCTCCTTCCAGCCTAGCGGAAATACCCCTGGTTTGTGGGCACAGCTCAAGGGCCAAGACAAACACCCTACTGAGACTGTAGGACGGCTTCCTGGACCTTCCAGGGAGAATAAATAAATACCCTCAGGAAATCGCACCAGCACACCCGAGGCCAGGCAGCAGTTAATAACACTGGTTCACACGGCTCTGAGCCTGGGAGACTGTGGGAGGCAAGCACTGCCCCCAGCCTGTGGCCAGAGGGTGAGCTGCCCTTGTCCAAGATGCAGAAGAGAGGCAGGGCTAAGGGTGGCAAGCTCGTCACTGTAGCAACAGTGTGCTCACTGAGCTGCTTGGTCAGGGGAATAGCCTTGAGGAGGCCTGGATGCCATGCCATCAGGAAATCCTCAGCCCGCACTCTGGGCCCTCACCTTCAGTGGCAGCCGGGAGAAGCTAATAGGCTTGTGCACTTTGGGGAAGGAATGGACAAACCAGGCAGGCCAGGCCCTGAGATGGGGCCCATTGGCATCACAGGAGTAGTGGGCCATCTCTCACACTACAGCAAACATTCACCTGCCAGTCGCCAAACCCAGAGTCAGACCCCAACCCTGCACCTGCAGGGCTTCTAGGCCATACCAGCTGCTATCGTGCCCAGGTTCAGAGCTGGCAATCGGGGAGAGCTTCCTGGAGAAGGTGCCTCAGCACAGAGACCCACCAGAGGAATGGGGGTTAGTCTGAGGCAGGAGAGCATGTAGAGGGGGAGCTGCGACCACAGGTGGTGACAAGGGTGTCAGATTTGCTCCGCTGCCACAGGCCCGGGATGGGTAAGGGAATGACCAGAGAACGTTTGGCTCCGTCCTCAAGGCGGTGAGAATCACAGGGGACTTTCTTCCGTGAGGACAGCATGGTCAGACCCACATTCTGGAGAAACGGCCCTGGCACTCAGCCAGATGTAGGAGGCAATGGGTATGAGGCAGTGACCGGGCCTACAGGAAGCTGGGCACAGGTCCAGTGGAGGTAGTGGCCTAGCAAGGAGGGGGTAGGTTCAAGAAGTGCTTGGGATGAGTTGGGACAGATCCATGCTTGTTGGAGGTGGGAGGGAGGGTGATGCCCAGGTCCTTGTGGTGTGTTCCCTGATGTGGTGAGCTTGGGGACAGGTGAGGCCTCCCACTTGGACATGTCTCCAGGTGCTCCTGGGCTGCTGGGAAGGGAAGGACAGTGGGGGACAGAGCTGGGGGGCCTGGGCCATTAGGGAGTCCTCCAGTTTGCACCCACCCTCCTCCAACCTTGCCCCCAGGACACACACTTCACACACTGACACACTTCAGGCCCCCACCCCCATGGGGCTGTGCATGTTGTAACCACCATCTAGGCCAGGCGTTGGGGCCAAGTTGCTGGGGGTTTAATCACTGTCACAGCCCTAACCACACACAGGCAGTAACACCCTGCTCACAGCCAAGAGAGCTGTGTGCAAGGCCTTCCCCGAGGGCGCGCGGGCGAGGAGGACTCGAGGCGCCGCCAGGGCCTGCACATCCGGGCAGGCGCCAGGCCGGCCTCCGAGAGGGGCCCTGAGGACAGGAGAGCAGCCGAGCTGCCGCCACCGAGGATGATTTATACCTGACTCCCACCCTCATCCGGAGCCCGCCAAGACTGCAGCCCCACCGCCACAGTTAGCCAGGATCCAAGTCAGACTGTATTCCCGGGGGTCCCTCCTGACAGTAGGGAATGTGGGAGACTCAGGGCTGGAGGTCAGCGCCACAGTGCAGCTCCTTTCTCTTCCTGTCCTACACTGCCGATTCCTGCAGAGCTCCTGGGAGGCTCACGTCAAAGCTGGGCTGGAAGCAGACGTTTGCGAGGAGGGCTGTGCGTTCATTCAGCCCTGCATGAGCATGCATGTGGGGCCTGCAGAGATGGCCTGGGGGACGGCCAGCATCCATTCTGCAGGGAGACACCAGCTAGTTAGCAAGCTGCCTTGCGCTTTGAGACTGAATGTGCTCTGAGGGAGACTGACCGGGAAGGGGCTGAGTAGGTAGGTAACCACGGTTGTGTTAAGAGAGAAGGGAGGGCCTGGGCCCAGGCAGCAGCAAAGACTCTGATAGGGAAATACCCTGTGTGTTTCTAGGTGACCTGGTTTGTCCCAAGTGATGGATAAATCGTGGCTGGTGCCACTGTTGAAAGGATGCTGTCCCAGTAGATTCCATCTACTGCAGCCGCTGAAAGGGCCAACATGCTGTTGGGTGCCACTGAGGTGACTAGGACTCCGAATGACACCGCAAACTGACAGATCAGAACCTTGCCTCACCTGTGCTGCCCTCATGATCGCCGCCACACTCATACATTTTATAGAGTGGCCTCGGTCCCACTGCAGGGAAGCAGCAGGGCCAGGATGCCACTCACCTGATCTCCGTTTCAGGGACGCCACACCATTAGGGAGCCCTGGTGACATAGTTTGTAGCCCTGTGGGTCGTCTCTTCCATGTGATGTATGCCCTTAGAATTCCAGTGATGGGTCAGCTATGAATTGGTTCTGACTTGATGGCAATGAAAGTGAGTTTCCCTACACTATTAGGGAAAGGTCCCCACAGGAAGTCAGGGACACAGTAGACCAGCCCAGGGTGCCTGCTGCAGACAAGGGCCAGCAGCACCAGCCAGAGGCTCATCCTGGGTCCCTCCTGATGCTCCACTGGCCATAGTCAGAGACTAGACAGCAGCCTCAACCCCTGTCAGGCCAGGGCAGATGACAGTGAGCTCTGGCCTCAGCACTCTAAGGAAAGGAGGGTCTTTGGACAGCTCAGCCTAGCCAAGGGGTTGGGCATTGCCCCATGAACTAGCTGGCTTGTTGCTCTACCCACCCTCACAAAGGGATCCCAGGGACTTGGCCTGAGGCTGTGGGGCCTGGGCTGCTGCTTCCGGCAGAGAAAGGCCCCTCATGGGTCCTGCTGCTCCGTCATGGCAAGCTGTCACCTCTGTTCACTCTGGCCTATGTCTGTGGCTCGGCCAGCTCAAAACCCCCAGTGCCTCCTCTGGCTCAGTGAGGATGAGGAGGGTGGGCTGCGACAAAGCAAGGTATGGCCAAGGAGCTGGGACTGCTCTGTCACATGGTGCCGAGTGTGTCCTGAGAGGGAGACATGGGTGCTTGCCGAGAGCTCTGCTGTCAACGTGGGCCTTACCTGTCAGACGGGCCCAGTGTCCACATGGGGCGGGGAAGCATCACAGGCCTAGGGTCCTTGTTAGATGCTAGACCGGTGCAGATGTGGGGGTGGCACGCCCTTCTGAGAAGAGACACTGAAGATGGGGTCCCTCAGAGCCTGGTGGGCAGGGCAGGGCAGGTGCAGAGTGATGATTGGACTTGGGGCATGGCTCTGGCTCTCTTCATTCTGTGTGGCAGCAGCCCCCACAAGCCTACAGGGTGGGCAGGACGACTGAGGCTCAGGCCCCCCAGTCTCCCGAGCCAGTGTAGCCCCAGAGACTCTGCTTGGGGAAGCTCTCCACCATGGCCTTTGCTCCAGAAACATGGGGTGAAGATGATTTAGATCAGCAGGCTGGGGCTCAGGCTGGGGAGGCTTTGGAGAGGCCTGCTGGCCCGTTAGCAGGCAAGGCCACAGACCCCTGCCGCCTGCACCACCGCGCCAGCTGCGCCTTCACCCAGGAAACCTTTGCTGTCTGCTGAGGCTCCAGGAGCGATTCAGCCACATCCCAGGGTGTACAGTTGTCCCCACCCCCAGTCCTGGGCCTCCTCTTTGCCCCGCAGCAGCACAGGCCTGAGGCCAAAACAGCTTTGAGGCCACAGCACTTCTGCTGAGGGGATGTAAGTCTTCCTCCTGCAGCCGGTCGGAGGGGTGCACACAGTAGGATGCTGGGTGGTAGTGGGCAGGGCCTCCCAGGAGCAGACTCATCACACCCTTGCTCTCACCTTGGACTCCCAGGCCCAGCCAGTTTGGGGGCTCTGTGCATCCGTAGGCCTCACTGTGGCCAGGTGGCTGCCTCCACTGCTCACTGCAGTCTGCCTTTGAGCCGCAGGTGTCTGGTGGCCTGACATGCACCGCCTGGCCGACCGCATCCACCTGGAGGAGCTGGTCCGCATCGGCATCCTGAATGGCAGCGTGGACGCCATGATCCAGGTCCACCTGGGAGCTGTGTTCATGCCTCATGGGCTCGGCCACTTCCTGGGCCTTGACGTGCACGACGTGGGAGGCTATCCTGAGGTCAGTGTGGACAGTGGCCTGCCTGTCACCCATCACTGGGCATTCCTTCCCCCTGGGACCGGCAGAGTATAGCTCCTGCTTCCCAGCGGGACTCGGCCAGGGCGGGCTGGGCATCGTGGCAATGCTCCACCTGCCCCTTCACCCACCAGCTGCCACACTGCCCCCTCAGACCCTGGGCCAGCACGGTGTCCTCTCACCATGTCTCTGCTTCATTCAGTGCAGGGTGATGAGGCCTCACCAGCTGTTCACCCCTAGTTATTTTGGGGACTAGCTGAGCCCAGCCCCCCACACCCCTTCTATGAGGTGGTTCTCTCCCCCTGCTCCCTCTGTACTCTGCTTTCCTGGCCCCTGGCCCACTGGTTCGTGCAGCTGCCCATCTGAAGGGATCCTTGGCAGGGTGAGAGGAAGATTGTGTGGGGCAGCTCCAAATGAGGCCTCTCTCCCATCCTAGTGGCTGATGGATCCTTGAAGGACCACCCAGGGGAGCGTGAGCGCCTCCAGAGGCCCCTCTGGGCAGGTGGCTGCAGCCTCCAGGACCCAGGCGGGTGGGGCATGGGCCACTGGCTGAGGTGCTGGGGGCTGGTTTTGCAATCAGCGCGCCTTAGGGCCTCACCAGCCTGTCAGCCAAGACCAGCCTTGGCCTGTTGGCTGCAGAGTATTTTGAAAGCACTAGGAACGATTTTTGGGGTGGGGGGGAAATTGCTCAAGAGAAGCATTATTATTCAATTATTTTTTTTTCCTCAAGTGTAAACAGTTAAATTTGGAGAAACAAAATCAGTTTTAATTTCCTAATTTCTATCCATCACATTGTGTGCAGAGAGCCAAAAGCAGGCCCTTCCAGACATTGTTAACTGAGGTTCATTATTCATTAGTCGCCAAAGTCATTTTTTTTTCCTACCAGAGAAAATTGGCAGCGAGCTGTTTTCATCCTTTCCGGTAAGCAGCCCTTTGTGCTCAGGGTCTATTCTTCTGACAGATAAACACTGGAAAAAGAAGGCTTTTCCTATAAGAGTCATTTGTTTTATTTGAGGCCTGCAGACACATCTGGGTCTCTTCTGCTCTGAGCCTTGTAACAGGCCAGGGTGAGTACGCATGGGCACGCACCCCCCGCCCGCCCACCAGGGCTGCAGACTCAGGACCAGAGTGGCCTCCAGGCCAGGCCTCTTCCCTTCCTGGGCTGGTGCTGCACTTCATCCTTCTCCAACCCTGGCCGTACAGCTGGCCCCCAGCACACACCCAGGCATGCCCTGTCCTTGTCAGGCCCCATGGTTCAGAACTGGGGGTGCCTGCTGGGAAGGGGCACCAGCAGCCTCGGGCAGATACTCACTTCTGCCCTGCAGTGATTCCTGTCGTTTCAGTGGTGAGCCTGAGCATTCCTACATGGGAGACTGGCCCCTTCATACTTTAGTGAGCCTGCCCTCTCCCACTGCACACACCATGGGGACAGACTGAAGTGGAGCAGAGACAGGACCTTGTCAGAGCTTTGCCTTAGCCAGCCCCTGCCTTTGACTGTGGAATGGAGGGATCAAGTGCTTAGAGGCAGCAGAAGGGAGAGGGAGGGGCTGCTAGTGGGAAAACCCTAGAACAAAGACCCTGGGTTCCCCAGCTCTAACATTCAACTTCTGGGCAGGAGAGAGGCCCCTGTCCTGCCACACCAAGCCAGAGGCCTGGAGGAGAGTGTTATGGTGCCAGGCACCACCCTAGACAAGCGTCTGTGCCAAGAGCCCTGCCCAGGCAGACCCTAACCAGCAGGGCCCTGGGCCCAGGCGCTCCCTTGTGACCTCCTGCCTGACTCTCAGAGGGTCATGATCCCCACTTCTGTGGCACCCCGGTCACAGAGCATACCCGCATGCCAGCCTCAAAAGGCCGAGCCAGTCTGCTTCTGGTTACTTTACATGAACCACTAATTGAAGTCTGATGTTCTGGCCCCCAAACAGTCGGAGATGACAGCTCCGTCTCCAGCAGCCTGGCTTCCTGGGGGACCACAAATGGTAGAGGGAGAGCTTCATCAGAAAGCCCGCGTGTTGCCCACGGCAAGGCAGCCCTGGCCACAGGACGGATGGCCGCCCCCAGGGAAAGCCTGGTCACTTTGAAGTCTAGGGGACACCACCTGCCTTCACACCCCCAGGGTAGACGTATTGGCTCCCCCTCTGTGCATGAAAGGCCCCAGACTGACTGTGTCCTCAATGGGGGCAGGCACTCCCTGCAGCCCACTGCTCAGGGGCTGGGAGCTTTGTCTCCCAGGGTGCAGCTGGGGCCAGCCCCTCAGGGTGCCATGATGCTCTTGGGAGCCGCCCTGGGGCACACACATGGACATGCACATGTGTTTTGCATGTACATGCCAGTGTGGGGGCTGGCAGGCCCGCCCTGATGACAGCACCTCCCCACCTCCCCGGAAGGCTGCATGGAAAGCCTGGGGCTCAGCCTGTGGGTATTGAAGGGGCACTTAGGGGCAGGTTTCCCCTAGAGCTGCTTGGAAGAAGAGATGTGCCCCCCCCCACCCCAGAAGGCCTCTCAACAACCTCCTTAAGAAGTGTGTTGGCTTCACTGGTATTGCTTATACTGCTCATTCCCCTGGCCAGGACAGGGTGAGGGTGGCAGCCCCCATGCCAGCCCCAGGACCTGCCTGTGTGTGTGCCGGAGTGTGGGCCCACAGTGACCCAGAAGGCAGGCCTGAGTGTGTGAGAGGCACGGCCCTGCCTGTGTGCAGGGTTCTTTTCAGAAGGGCTCAGAGAAGCCTCACCCACAGCTTCCTTGGGACCATCATTCATCCCATCCCCACCCTATTCCTATCCTGAGGCTGGAACTACCTGTCACTCCTGCACTGGACAGGAAACTCAGCTAGTGTGTTCCTCCCTGCCCATCCCGCACCTCCTGCATGAGGCCTGGACGAGCAGCTTCACCAGCGGGTTCCCCTCTGTGCAGGGCGTGGAGCGCATTGACGAGCCAGGCCTGCGAAGCCTGCGCACCGCGCGTCACCTGGAGCCCAACATGGTGCTCACGGTGGAGCCAGGCATCTACTTCATCGACCACCTCCTGGATGAGGCCCTGGCCGACCCGGCCCGAGCCTGCTTCTTCAACCACGAGGTCTTGCAGCGCTTTCGAGGTTTTGGCGGGGTGAGTGCCACAACCCTGTATTCTTACTCCCAGAATGCCTGTCAGCATGCCAGCTGCTCGTCACCTCTGGTTCATGACTGGCCTGAGTAGGAGGGGGGCAGCCTTGATTTCTCTAGAGAAGCTCCTGGTCCACCCCTGGTGGTCTCTCAGAAGACATTGATTCCACGAGACCCTTGCTGCTGCCGCTGTTGAGATGCAAGGGGCCAGGTCAGGGTAGGCAGGTGACATGAGCAGATGGGCCCATGGGAGCCTTCCCTCTGCAGGTGTCCACAGGGCCTGAGAGGCCAGACCTGTCTGTCACGGAAATTGAGTTGTTCTTAAGAAAGGACTTCTCTCACTCATCTGTGAGGGTCAGGCTGGAGCTGTGAAGTCTGACCTAGCAAATGAGGCCAGCTCAGTAATAATGAGTGTCTGTTTGTCCACTGCCCCAGGTTCGCATCGAGGAGGACGTTGTGGTGACTGACAGTGGCATGGAGCTGCTGACCTGTGTGCCTCGCACCGTGGAGGAAATTGAAGCATGCATGGCAGGCCGGGACAAGGCTTTCACCCCCTTGTCTGACCCAAAGTAGAGTTTCCAGGAGTGTCCCGCGGGAGTAGGGGTCCGGCCTTGTACCCTTCCCCCGCGGGAGTAAGGGTCCGGCCTTGCACCCTTCCCCCGCGGGAGTAGGGGTCCGGCCTTGCACCCTTCCCCCGCGGGAGTAGGGGTCCGGCCTTGCACCCTTCCCCCGTGGGAGTAGGGGTCTGGCCTTGCACCCTCCCTTTTAGATGGCTGACCTGCCAGCTGCTGGACTCTCTCCAGGGCAGACACTGTTCAGAGATCAGGGCCCAGCAGTGACTTTTGATTATACCAAATACCCAGTTCTGGAGGTGCAAAGCTTTCTTATGAATCTACGTGAGATCATTTCCTCAATCTGTTATGTACTTTGCTTAAATAATAGTTATTTTTTTAAATTCTAATGGAACATTATCCTGTTCCTTGCTGGTCCAAGGGCCCCATAGTCCTGGGAACATCAAGGCCAACTGATGTAACTAGTCCACAGAGATAATATTCTTTCTTCTACTTTGATAAGTAGCAACAGCTGGGGCCTTAAAAGCTTTCAAGCAGACATCTACAGTACAACTGTCGGCCTCTCCCTGTCCAGAACTTAGAAGAGAGGAGAAAAGCGAAGATATGTAGGAACAGTCCAGAGGACTTAGGTACCACATAAACCTCAGCTTCCACCGCCGAGACCAGAAGAACTAGATGTGCCCAGCTACACTTCTGAGCACTCTAAAAGGGAGCACAGGAGAACGTTCTGGACCTAGCGGGTGAAAAATGTAGACCAAAACTCAAAATCCTAAAAATAGCCAGACTTGCTGAGACTGTGGCTCTTAGTCACTCTTCAAACCTGAAACTCAACTCACCCCTTGGGGCTCAGCATTCACTTAGAGGATAGGCAGGCCTGTAGTGTGAGTTGTTACATCTTAGAACCACCAACTATCAAAGGGACCATTTACCCAGGGATAAAGCTCAGAAGACAGGAAGGTATTGGACATGGATTAATGGACAAGAGAATCACAGGGAGGAAATGGGAAGAGTGAAGTCACAGTGTGGATTGTGCTGTATATCCTCAAGTCAGAACCGACTCCCAACTAACCCTCCAGTGGATTTTCAGAGGCAGTAAATTATACAGGAGAAAACTGCCCATCTTTCGTCAGCGAAACAGTTGTTGGGTTTAAACTGCATGCCGTTAGGTTGGTGGCATTTCATAAAAGAAAACATTGATTGGCTGTATGAAAATCCTGTGTGCTTTATAAACTTTGGCTCAAATCATAATGAAAATAATCAGTTAAAATATCTTGGCTGCCATTTCTATTCCTTTTGTTAGGAAAGATGCATTTCCAGTGTTTTCTCTGAAAAATCAATATATAATAAAATATTTCTTCAAGTGGCCCCTTGTGTGTAGCTTTTCTTTTTCCTTTATCCTTTGCAGACGAGCAATGCATGGCTCCTGGGGTCTGCGAATCTGGAGAAGATCGCTCATCCAGTGTTAGCATCAAGAGCTGGTTCTTAGGGAAGTCGTGTCAGCGATACAGGCTTTGGCCACACACTGGCCTGGTGGGACACAGAATCCTCCCTGTCCAGAAGCCTGCTCTGAACTCTGGGGGCTCTGCTCGGCTCACCACCCTGTCACCTGCTTCCCAGCCTAACAGGCAGCAGAACCCCCAGGCATTGGTCTGAGCAGATTCCCAGGGGCCGCTCTCAGACCTGAGTCATTTGCAGGGGTGAGACAAGGGAATGACACTCCCTGGATGAGACACCAGCACTCACAGGGAAGCTCCGGGCCTCATCCGGAACGTGTGGCCAGAGGTTTGGGGGCCAAGCTTGGCCCTGCAGAGATCATGGTGAGAGCAGGTCCAAATTGGTAGAATCCTCCACACCGTGCCTCCAAGCACATCAAAAGGTAAACGATTGAAGGAAGATGCCTTTTGGGTATGGTTATTGCCCTCAAAGAGTCCTGAAAGGGCAGAATTATGTGGCACTTAACTGTCAATGTTGTTCTTAAGTGCCGTCAAGTCAAATACAACTCATAGCAACCCTATGAACAGTAGGTCTGAACTGTCATATCCTGTGCCATCCTTATCATCTTCGATTCATCTGAATCCACTCACATAGACACTATCAATCCATCTCCGTGAGGGTCTTCTCCTTTTCTGACCCTCCATCTTTCCATGCATAATGTCCCTTTCCAAAGAATAATCTACCAACATGTCTAAACACGTGACATGAAGCTTCACCATCTTTGCCTCCACGGAACATTCTGGTTGCACTTTCTCCAAGATAATACCTGTTTGCCCTTTTGGTTGGGGCTGTCCGTGGGATAGTCAGCAATCTTCTCCAACACCACAACTCAAATGCTTCTAGTCTCCTTTGTCAGTTTTACTTGTTTTGTTTTAAATTTTACTCAATTTATTTGCAAAGTCTGAATACAATGTTTTTCACAAAAGATCCTTCCCACTGTCCAGAGCTCCAATGCAGAGCAAGTGATATGGAAGACTGAAAGACCTGAATCAGGTGAACCTTAGTCTCTAAACTGACATTATTGCTCTTTAGGACTTTGGAGAGATCCTTGACAGCAGATGTTGCCAATAATATATGTCTCCCTCTCTCCTGCCTGCTGGTACCAAGGGTGTTGATCCGAGAGAGATGAAGTCATTGACAATTTCAGTCTTTTCATCTATCATGATGTCAGCTATTGGTCCAGTGATGAGGATTTTTGTTTTCTTGATGTTGAGATGCAATCCATATAGAAGGCTGCAGTCCTTGATCCTCTGCAGCTAACGCCTCAGGTCCTCTTTCAGCAAACAAGATTGTGTCATCTACACAACATCAATGTAGGAGCACGTTGTTTGAGACTTGCAGGGATTTGTTGTCCTGCTCCTGTGGTGCATTTTCAGCAAAGCCAACATCTTCGCTGAGACAAGGCAGTACTGAGCATACTCCTTCCATCCGTACTTTGATACCACTGGCTTTCCGAGGTGTGAGCATGTGGACTCAGTTCTGCCCTATGCATGGACCATCCAGGGCCCCGCTGGGCATGGTCCTGGCCTGTGGTGGAACACTCGTGCTGCCTTCTCGTGGCCAATTTATTCACAGGCCCACGCTACTGCCCCACCCTTGTGCTGACTTTTAAAATTCCATATTCTATTCCTGATTGTTTTCCAACAGCTCTCTCATCCCGGAGTTCCGAGCCACAATGATGGGCAAGTGAGAAGATGTCAGAGATCTGAAATAATCATAGAGCAGAAACTGTAGTCAAAGCTAGACACCTTTTGAGAAATCACGGAAGAGTTTAGTACAAATTAATTTCTTCCACGGCACTAACATGTTGAGATAAAACAGCCAATCTCAGTTCCAAATCACCATTTATCTCATTTGCTTCTTACATTTTAAGATCCATTTTTTTATAGTTTTCTGCTGGTGCACAGGTAGTCAGGTAGTCTCTAAATTACCTGTTTGTCACATTGAGCCGTTTGAGTATCGCTCTGTCAGGAAAAATCTTAACTGTTTGCCAAGCATTTTTCTCCCCAGCTAAGAACCAGGACATACATACGCTGGTGGTTAGGATTTCAGTTCTTTCATCCCATGGGTAAGACCTGTTAAAAGTTAGGTTGTTAGTGAGCTCTGGTGGCCTAGTGGCAAGAAACTACACTGCAATTCTGAAGGTGCACAGTTTGAATCTACCAGATACTACTGTGATAGTTGGATCCAACGTGACGGTATACCAAATTTAAAGTAAAATTTTTTTTAAAAAAAATTTAAAGTTAGGTTGTTTGCTAATAAAAATAGAAGAGTACATCATACCTCAATCTTTCTTCTGACTTTCACCAAAAAAGCCTGTCCCACAAAAACCTTGTCTTGGATTATCAAGAGCAAGGAGCCATTTCTCAGGAACTAGATGATCTTTGTTCAAGAGAGATCAAAGTTTGACCCAGATGGGTAGGTTACATGGCATTTGTGTTGAAGGTCTCAGTGACGCTTAGTAGCGATCTGTCTCAGCACAGAGAGGATACATCCAAGTCGCCCTGAAGCTCTGTGGAGAGGCGCGCGGTGCTTGCTGCCTTCTAGTTACTTCTGACTCCCTGACACTTGTGTACAAAAGAATGAAGCACTGTTCAGTCCTGCTTGGTCATGAGAGCCACTTCGGCCTGTCTGCTCGAGGACCTTCCTCTTTTCTAACGACCCTCTACCAAGCATGGTGCCTTTCTCCAGGGATTAGCCCCCAAAGTCTGTGAGACCAAGTCTCACAATCCTTGCTTCTAAGGAGCATTCTGAACTTCATTCGTGAGAGATTTGTTCTGTTGGAAATCCATGCTGTATTCAATATCCTTCACTAACCACAATTCAAAGGCATTAGTGCACTGGTTTTACATGAGCACAGAAACCTTACCTGTGATTTACTGACTATGCAAATGCTTTGGACCAGGTGGACCATAACTGGTCATGATCATGATCTATGTGGAACGAGAGTCCCAGAGCACTTTATTTATTCACTTAGTTACAGAACTGTAGAGCTTCAGAGATGTATTCGAGACCTTTCCAGAAAGTTATACAGCTAATTGAAATCATTCTCCAAACCAGAGAAGAGCCTATCTGTTGTTGTTAAGTGCCGTCATGTGCTACTCTTAGTGACTCTACGTGCAACAGCTCTAAACCCTGCTCTATCTCATGCCAAGGTCATCATCTCTGACACACTCACCCCCATTCCTCTAGTCAGAGTCAATCCATCTCATCCAGGGTCTTCTTCTTTTGTGTTGTTCCTCCACCCTCCCAAGCATAATGTCCTTCTCCAAGGACTGGTTCCTCCTTGCAACATGTCCAAAGTATGTCAGATGAAGCTACAGAATCCTTGCCTCCAAGGAGCAGCCTGGTTTCACCCTCTCTAGGATGGACCTGTTCCCCTAGCAGTTCGTGGTATATTCAATACTCTTCTCCAGCACCACAGCTCAAAGGCATCAATTCTTCTATCATGCCTAGTCATTGTCCAGCTCTTTGATGCATAGCAACTAATTGCGAAGACCATTTCCTGGATTGGG